GTGTGTATATAGATATGCTTAATTTCTGCCTATTTCATGACAACATTATCCCTCAGCGAGCTATCGTAGTTATATACGTGTACCACATTTCTCCTTCTGAAAATGCAAGAAAAAATTAAGAAAACTGTTATAAATATATTATGCAAAATACTTCATCCTTTGTTAAATGATCTACATGTAATGAATGCTGTCTCCCTAGAGTCTTATTTTGATGTTTTGTTTTATTTGTTAAAGCAGCTATAGATTGTGAGGTGCTATCTCCAAATGGCTCTGTTTACATTTATATTATTTGAATCAGTGTTAACTTATCAAATGTTATCTCTATTATTCCACATATCTAATCAGTATTAACTTATAAGATATTATCTCTATTATTCCACATGTTCAATCAGTATTAACTTATAAGTCATTATCTCTATTATTCCACATGTTCAATCAGTATTAACTTATAAGATATTATCTCTATTATTCCACATGTTCAATCAGTATTAACTTATAAAATATTATCTCTATTATTCCACATGTTGTTTGTGCATGCACTTTCTTTTCAATATTAATTATTTGTCGCTATGGCAACAAGAGATTGTGTAAATGATCCAAACATATTCTGTTATATATGTGGTAAATTTGTTGTATAAAGAAGCAAAGGCCACGCAGACTCAGACTGATACCAGGATCAAATACCATAGAACATGAAAGTTTGATTGACACAAAGAAAGTCCTATTACCTCCAATTCACATAAAACTAGACTTGATGAAGCAGTTTGTAAAGTCCTGACACAATAATGGCGACTGTTTCAAGTATGTATGTGGGCAATTCCCAGCTCTTTCAGAAACGAAACCTAAAGTAGGGATTTTTGTTGGGACTGACATTAGGAAATTGACTTCGGATGAACAGTTCAAAAGGACAACGAGGAAAGTTGAAAAAGAAGCGTGGATTGCCTTTAAAGATATTATTGACAAATATTTTAGGAAACAACAAGGACCCAAATTACGAAAATATTGCCAATAACATGCTCGATAAATTCAAATGGTTGGGTTGTAATATGAGCTTGAAAGTTCATTTCTTACACTCACTATTTTCCTGAAAATCTTGGTGCCGTCAGCGAAGAACAAGGGGAAAGGTTTCATCAAAATATCAGGGAAATGGAGATGAGGTATTAGGGAAGGTAGAACATCGGCATGATGGCTAATTACTGCTGGTCATTGAAGCGAGATATTCCAGACGCAATACATAAAAGAAAGACTGCAACACATAGTTTTAAGACATCTCTGAAGAAGTCACTCATGGATTTTACTATTGAACTGTAATACATGATGTCTCTGAAGAAGCCACTTATGGATTATACTATTGCTTTTAACTGAAAAAAAATCATTTTATTTCAGTATTTCTACAAGACAATATTTTGATACAGCAATTGAAAAACGTTTATTTCTGGAACTCTACAAAGTATCATGTAAATGCATATGTAATTCAACATACACTTTGCTGGTCTTGTCTGTTCATATGATTACACGTTAATGTTATTAGTTCCTAGCACATTTCCAGCAATGCATGTTCATTCCACCGTCAAGACATAAACAGTATTCAGTGTAGAACTGTTGTAATTACTTGTAGTGTATTCTCAGTTATTATTTCCACACCGTACGTTACTGGCCACAGTGTCTGTCTTCCTTAGCAAAAAATATAATTTTTTTAAAGGGTGAAGCATTTAAAAACAGACTATTATGGACCATTAGAGGCTCCTTGAGCAAATATAAGGCTTCTGAAAAACAGGTTTTAAAGGTTCCCTGGGAGACCTGCATACATAGAGATATATACGTTTAAAAAGGTTTGACTTCAGAGAAAACAAAAACCCTTTCCCTTGACTGTTCGGTTTTACAGTAGAGCCCTTTTTAATATTTGAAACTTTTGTTTAATCCGAAGTCAAGTGTCGTGAACTTTCTTCAAGTGTTAATAATAGTATACTTTGCTCTACAACAGTCAAAACGTGTAACAAATATAGAGATACATGCTACCTTAGCCTATCAAGAAGTAAAAAATAATAATATTTTTTGTCAGATCCGTTGAAATTGAAAGTTGTTTTTTTAAGTTGCCGTTTGCTTCTTATATTCTGGATTTTATAAAAAAGAACATGAGTTATCAAGGTAATCTATAGTTTTTTATCATGAAAATTGGAAACTCGAAGCTTCCATTTCACGATTCCTTCTGAAACATTTCATTTTCAATGAATCAATTTTTTAGCACGTGTAAGTAAGCCGCAAAGTGTCCCATCGTATTACAACCTTGTCAGTATGGTCCTTTTTCTTGAACGTGATACATAAGAGGAATCTTGAAACCGACTATAATTGACTTGGATAAGAACAAATCAACAGTCAGTCGTAGATATGCAGAGGTGGGGACGTGTGCGGCATCCATCTTGTCACATTAGTTTAGCAGCGATATAGAAAAAGAATGGGATTACGCGAGATAGAATGGAAATGGATTATTTATCAAATTCCCTTACTAATGCATCGATAACTGACAATCTCGTGCGTGTGTCTTTCATATATAAGACAACGGCGTAAAACCGTGTGATAACCGAAATGACCTTGCCTTAACGAAACATTAAGAACACAGTTAGATTGGTGAACGCTGTGTAATCGACTTTGATGTCTAGATGATATTACCGCAGTTGAACTGACAAGCAAACAGTGAAAATTACAACCTGACAAACAGAGAGAGAGACAGGTCATATAAAACAAAACAAACAGGGTTAAAATAAAAGGAAGGATTCATTAAAAAAAGAGAGAAGAAGAAAAAACAAAACAACTATAAGGAATAAATATTCCATAAGAGTTTAGTTTCAATGGAAAGCGGAAAGCTTATTAAACGTTTATAACATTTAAAGTTCGGGGTTCGATCCCACTGGTTGACACAGCATTGATAGGCCATTATTTAGCAGATTTACGAATAAACAAGTTAATCAAACACAGTGAAACTAGAGTGACGGCCTCAGAATTAAAATATCTAAACTTTATATTACAATTGCTTTATAACAACATCATGAATTAGAACTGACTGTAATGAGTTTGAACTTATTACTTATCCACTGCGTCATTGTACTTAGTTTATCTATTTATCTCGTACATTGTATTACTCCAGACATTTATGAAATATACACACGATAATATACTTGATAAAATCAGTTACGCTAATGCATTATCTCATTGGGAACAGGTTATTTTCATTTTTGTCATTACCTATTGCCTCGTAAGAACATGCTAATTTCTTGTCAGTATCTATTATTTTAGCTCAGTTATAATAGTTTCTTTATTGTATCAGTATACATTGTTTTGCCTCAGTTGTAATGTCTTTTGATTATTGTCAGTGTCTATTGTCATACGTCAGTTGTAACGTCTTTTGATTATTGTCAGTGTCTAGTGTTATACGTAAGTTGTAACGTCTTTTGATTATTGACAGTGTATATTGTCATATCTCAGTTGTAACGTCTTTGGATTATTGTCATTAACTATTGTCATACTTAAGTGGTAACATCTTTTTTAGTATTGTCAGTTATCAAACCTTCTTGATGTTTTATGCATATCTATAACAATTCTCAGTGTCTACTTTTAGTCTCAGTTGTGACAGATACTTTGAATGTTGTCAAGTCTACTGGCTTGCATAAATATTAAAAGATATTTTGATTATTAACCCTATTGATTACCTTGTACAGTTGTGACAGGCTTTTGATTGCCTTTAGCATCTACTTTTTAATGGATTTTTGGTATTGTTAGGTTTACCGTATAGCCCCAAGTTGCCTCAGTAAAGTTTATTGTTGCCGGTATCTATGGTTTAGTTGTGCCAAATTATTTATTGTTGTCAAAACTACTGTATTACCTCAGTTGTGACAGGTTTTGCGATTATTGTAACATCTATTGCATATCTTCAATTATAGCAGGTTATTCTATTGTCAGTTTCTAATGCATTATCCCATTGGGAACACGTTATTTTCATTTTTGTCATTACCTATTACCTTGTAAGAACATATTATTTTATTGTCAGTATCTATTGTTTTATCTCAGTTATAATAGTTGCTTTATTGCATAAGTATCTATTGTTTTGCATCAGTTGTAACGTCTTTTCATTATTGTCAGTGTTTATTGTCATACCTCAGTTGTAACGTCTTTTGATTATTGTCAGTACTCATTGTCTTATATAAGTTATAACGTCTTTTGATTATTGTCAATACTCATTGTCTTATCTCAGTTGTAACATCTTTTTTAATGTTGTCAATTATCAAACCTTCTTGATGTTTTATACAGACTTTAGAAATAACTAAAGCTTTAATTCTACTGAACTTTGGCCTTTTAGATAGTACTCAATATATTGGAAGAATGAAAATCTAAACAGAATCTATTTATTTGGAAACAAATTTACAAAGCACTAACACACACCACATTTCTGTTTACGTCAGACCTCTCATTTTAAAGACATTCATGCAATATTATGTAATTAACCTCGAAATCGAAGACAGTTTTTCATTTTGTCCTAAACAGAAACGCTATGCTGCTAAACTAACAGAGTAAACATGGTGTTACGGCAAATGGAAGCAAACCATGAACCTTCGGATTCATAATCTGGGCAAGATGACCACTAGACCATGCCTAGCCTAAGATTTCATCTTTTATTGATAGATTTGTCACGAGATCATTTAACAGTAAAATATATTTTTGAGTTCGAATGGAATATTTTCACGTCGTAAAAGAAGAGTTTAACTGTGCGCGATTTCTTCCAATTACCACAGAGATGAACGCTTTAAACAGGCCACGTGTAATGCAACAAAAATGAACCTAGACGGAATATTTTCACATCGAGAGTATTACAACATCAGAGAATAATCTTTTCCTTGTTGCTGTTGCTGTTATTTTGTTTATTTGTTTCAACATATTGGAATAAAGGCTTAGTTCTGCTAATGACTCAAATCTTTCAATTAAAATAAAAACAAAACGAGATTCAGTTTTGAATAGTTCATCATTTTCTTTTTATTATCAGTTATCTTGTTGTTTTCGATACAGAAACACATCTTGTTATTTTTACCATACTAACAAACTGGTAATTTTAACCTGACACTTGACACTAGTTTCACGACAAGGCTAAGCTTCCGTAGTTACTGTGACGGTTGACAGTACACTGAACGTCAAAAATACAACTATATTAACACAGGAATTATCACAATATTGCGCTTTTGTCTTAATTTTTGTTGTTGTTGTTTTATGTACCTTTCTGATCAAAATAAAGATTTCGACATGTTTAGGTTTTTAATTATTACTTTTCGTTTCATAAATATTTTGTTTATATTTATACACCTCTCCTGTATGTATTTTTTACACCGCTTATAAAAATAATTTGGTTTCAGTATTAGTCTATAAAGCAATGACCTGTTGCAGAAAGCGAAACGTTTTGTATATGTTGAACGAAACAGTGTATTTGTGTATGTTCAAACCAAATGGTTTTTATTAAGCATAACTGCCATTCGCGTTTTTATTTTCTCTGAAATTGGAACTGGGTGACTTCAGAATCGATAACTGAAGGATTTTCCCTGCAGTTTGAATTCTGCTATTATGCACAAAATACTGAATTTTCAATGCTTATCAGATGTATATTTTTTATTTGAACATGTGTGATGTAACAGCTGAGGATTCATCAGAAAAATCAAGTAACTTGGTTGTAAAAAAACAAACAATAAATATGTTATTAAGCTGATTTTTTTTCGAACTGTTCAACAGATTAGTATGTACTTGTTCCCTCACCACATCTTCTTTAAGTACAAAGAATAGTTTTCACTTTGTCTTAAGCATATTAAAATAACATAAATTGTTTTGTCGGGCGAGACCACTGATGAAAACATTATACTACACACTCATAAGCAAGCAAGTTTTAAAAAGTACAATTTGTAAAATGTAAGAGATTGCAAAAATTATACAAACACCATTGCTTTCAAAAACCTATATTTACTGATGCAACGAACAAATATTTAAACAAGGACAACATCCTGTATTTTTTAAAGGCTTGGCTGATGGCAGTTAAGCTGTAAGCAGGAAGTCTTCGATGCAACTTTCTTTGTGGCAAATAGCGGGAACCACTCTTTTGAAAAACACTCGTTGTTGCCTTAAAGGTACCAACATAGCGCGAGCTAAAGTGTTGCATGGTACATCATCTTGACACAGAGTGGCGCTTTCCTTCAAAAATCCAACATCACAGTTGTCGGAGCTGAGACCGAAGGCTTCTCCCTACAGAAAAAGTAATAAAAAAAGAATAGTTTAAAACCGAGTTTTCTAAAAAAGTGCGTTGCTAGGTAAAACACGATTTTTAATCTGGATAACAGTCTAGAATTTGTTGTCGTGAAAGAGTGATTAAACTTAAGTTTCTTCGTAAACCGTTCGTAGACTAACAGCTTTATTCAGCGCCCTTTTTTTTTTATTGATAGTCGTCTCCAAGTTTAATTTAAATGTTGCTACGCCTGCTTATGGCACTGAAGAGGAAAAAAATATCTACCTCTCCATAGTAAAAATAACCTTCCAATTAATACAGCGTGAAAGTAACTTACAAAGTAATCCAAACAATTGAAGTTTCACTAAAACTAATCAAAGGAGGAAATATTTTCGATTATTAAAAGTTAATTGAATTCGTAAACTTTATTCATTCTTCTAATGAGTGCAAAAAAAAAGCTTCTGTTTCGAGGCATAACACGTTAGTTTGGCAAATTAAAAATTCACTATTCTAATCGATATACAGCAAAAAGGAAAAGTATATTGTTGTATCCATATTTCAATGTTTTAATTTAGATGTTTACCAGAGGAAGCAAGGTGTTAAAATTGAGAAAGCTCATGAATATTAAGAATCGAGAAGCTTCAGGAAGTATGTAGAAACAAGAGTACGATATAAATATGAATAATCAGTTAATTAGACTTTAATGAGTATTGGTTGCGTTAGTTCTGTGAATCAGTTTTGTGAGCAGTTAATAATTAATGAGTTATTGAGTATTCCATGGGTGATTCGGTTCAGTGTTAGTTGTGAAAGTTATCGCTTCTATTAGCAAATAAATTCTGTAAGTAAGTTCATTTTGTAAGTTATGTGTAGGTAAAAATTAGTATCGCAGCTTCTATTGAAACATTGTTTCTGAACTTGTCCTACAACTTGTGAGAAAGTGAACGTAGCGTTTAGCAAATGTTATTGGAGAAAAAAAAATCGTTATATTTAGGTGGATTGAACTTGACATTATTTTTTTACCAAAATTCTTTTAAACCCAAATAGCCTGCCCACCGATAGAACATGTTACAACAACATAAATAAGTAAGTTAACACCGTTAAACGTACTTCTTCATTACAGACCATGAGAACATATATAAGCGGAAAAATGAATATTTTGAAGTTTGATCCTAGATTAACAGCAGTTGCTGATTATAAAGGTATTTTTACTTCAATAATGTAACGATTATTAGGCATTTGTAGCAGAATAAAATTACCAAATATTTCACATTATAAAGCATTTGTAGCAGAATAAAATTACCAAATATTTCACATTATAAAGCATTTGTAGCAGAATAAAATTACCAAATATTTCACATTATTAAGCATTTGTAGCAGAATAAAATTACCAAATAATTCACATTATAAAGCATTTGTAGCAGAATAAAATTACCAAATATTTCACATTATTAAGCATTTGTAGCAGAATAAAATTACCAAATATTTCACATTATTAAGCATTTGTAGCAGAATAAAATTACCAAATATTTCACATTATAAAGCATAGATTTTAAATTACGTAATAAAATATTTGTAGTTTAATATTTCAGAATTATAATTAATCAATTTTAACTGTGGTCTTAGCCTGGGACAACCCCAAAAATAATTGAATATTTTGAGAAAAATTATGGACAAAATTGGGTATAAAACTGAAATTTAAAAATTATTTGATTTGTTAGCATTTATCTAAATTCAATGAATAATTAAATCAAGGCTACTATACTGATACTGTTCCTTGGTTAATTATTCTTTGAAATCATGTACCAAAGTAAGTTTTATATTGCCAATATATTTTTCCATTATTTGGTTAAACGCTGCTTGTACGTGTAAAAACTTCATATTTAGATGAGTCAACTCTCACAAGATCTTCATTAAGCTACGGATGACATAGTTCAATCTTTGAAAGAGAGATTTAAAATATTTTTAAAAAAGCAAAACGCTTAATATTATAGCCTTTTTACTATTTTTCTTAAAATTAAAACTAAGAGCGGAAGGAAAGAAGGGCAAAGAAATATTTTTTGAAGAATATGGTTGAAAATTGCACAACATATGATTCTCAGCAGTGATTACCTTATTAGTCTTATTTAAGTTTCTTGAAAATGACCAAATGATAAGTACTTACACATTTATAACAAATTTCGAGCCAACTACATGCACGTTCCAGTGATCGATCAATAGGTATCGTCGGAAAGACATCTTCAAGGAAAGAGCAGCCACTGGTCAGCAGATCTAGAGGAGGACATTGGTCATCTGCAAATATGGTTATTTTTTGTAAACATATTAATCAAAGTAGTTACATGTTAAATATAAGGTACCAGCTTTTCAGTTTTTAGCGTACAGCGTGATATTCTCTCTAATAAAAATGTTTTTTTTTTCTCTTGGTTTTAATTTATCGAAATGCTCTCTGATTCCGAAGTAGTCGATAAATCTTCAGCTATCGGATAATTTATTGCTTTATAAATGTCAGTTAATCTTATCCATTGAAAAAAGGAAAATCTGACATGAAGAACCTGAGTAACTCTTGTATCTCAGCTAATCTGCAGTTACTGAATGATTCCTTTGTTTGTACTGCCATTTAAAATATTAATTTAAACAACCCAAAGAAAGTGGGAGAGCTAGGAGTACAATGAAAAGTGTTCACATAGTACAATAAGTGAATTGTTTAAGAACGCGATTAATGATAATTTGGGTTAGGATAGACCAAGAAAATTAAAAACACTTCAAAATGTTATTTATTTAATATTACTTTAGGCGTTTATATAAAAAAAAAATGTTTAATTTGAATTCACTGCAACACGTAGGTGAAGACTGTGTTGATCTTATTAATCACATTCAAAAAATACAGATTTACTACCTTTCCCCAACACACACACTGTTCTTCCTTTAAAACTTAGTTTTTAGGTAATGTAATCTTTTATTGTAAGCTGACAGTTAAAAAAAAAGATTATGCGAAATATGAAGATGTTATTTATAACATTTAATAATGAAAAAAAAAAGGTCAGTTGTAATCTCTGCTTACCTTCATTGCGTTCATCTGATGATGTTGTTTTACTATCAAGAAGGCTTTGGTAGAAACTTTCATTTAAAGCAGCATTTAAGCTTAAGTCTTCTTCATTTCGTTTGTCTGCACTTTGTATGTCATCTGCTTCTTCTGTTTCTCCGTTTTCTGGTTTAAAATGTTATTATTTGTCTTTTGTTTTATCTTTGAGTGTTTGTATATATTTTAAGCAAATAGTAACCAGTTTGGCAAATAGAAAAACATGGTGGTTTAGTGTATATTTTACAATTTGTCCAGGCTTTTATAAGATGCCTACATACAAAGTTGACATTTAGTAAAAGCCGAGTGTTGGTGTAAGTAAATAGCATAAAGCTTTTGTTTGTTTGTTTTTAGCGCAAAGATAGACAATGTACTATCTGCACTCTGTCCACAGCAGAAAATCGAACCCCCGAATTTTGCGTTTTAAGTCTACAAACATAAATTTCATCCATTGGGCATTAGCATAAATCTAAAGTGATCATTGTTTAAAAATCATTATTTTTTACTTGTCTATGGTCTGAAAATCGTTATCTTAATAAACTTAGAGAACATACATAGACAAGTAAAATGTTTACACGGAGAAGTAACAGATTTCTCAAACACAAAATTACTTCTGAAAATAAGGTTATTGTTTTCTACGACAATTTACATAAATTGGAGTTTAGTGATAATTGCAAATTATGAATCCAATTAATTACGTAAAAAAACAAATTAAAGAGTATAAACAAATGTGAGATATTGTGTATATTAGTCGAGGTTTCTTCACAATATTGCATACACAGACAAAATGCCAAACCCGTGTACAGGCATTTAGTAAATGCTCAGGCCAATTATAAAATACAGAATAAATTACTGCGTTTTATTTTTTGCCAAAGCATTTAGTATTTGCCTGAAATTATTATTCTCCTGCAAAATATGCATTAAAATAAACCTGAATTTGTTATATATACCGTTCTTAAAGTAAGATATTAGTACTTACATGTAGTACGAAAATATGGTGTGAATCATCTCAAAAGTAATTAATATTAACTTCCAACATAACTGAAAATGAACCTGGCGACGAGTATAACTACTTAAATATACTTTTCTGACGTTCTTACTTATCAGGCAGACGATAGCACTGCCTATGTAGGGATGGCTCGATTGTTCATCGAGATGGTATTTTGAATATCCGCACATTAGGTCATCAGAATTTTATAGTATTACAAAGATTAGAATGCATTGTTTCATCAGTTAGATACTCTCGTTCTTAACGATATTACGTCCGTAAAATAAAGACCGACTTGATTTTAATAAGATATGATACCGAATAAAATAAGGAGATATGGGCTAATGGGCTAGGTGAGAGACCCCCTAAGGTTCAGGTATAGTCATTATAATATAGTACCCGTAATCAGAAGGAGGGCAACCAATTAGCAACACCCCCACCTATACGTGTACTTGTAGACAAATAGCGGAACTTACTGTTGAACTTATAACGCTCTCACAGCTGATAGCGTGGTCAGCGGTATATCGCGGCTCGAATATTGTACCTTCTGATATGCAATCAGGCATGCTAACCATTGGGTTACGTCTGGCCTGACAACTGGATGAAGATCAGTGAAAAATATTATAATTTACTTCAAGTAGCTCAAATATGTAAAACCGAAATGCTTCGTCTCAGACTACGCCTCACTATTAAATGCACACTCATATATTTCGATGTATGAGCCATCAACCATTGTTTCAGATATTTATCGACCTTTCAGTTTCAAGTTCTCAGATATTAAATAAGGGCATAATTTTACCTTCTAAAGAGGCCAAGCTGCTTTTGTTGTTGAATTTTCAGCAGAAACTTATGCACAATAAAAACAATTATTAAATAGTCAGACCTTCAGTGCATGATAAAAATCAAAAGCTGGATTTTCCAAGTTCTTCACTCCATTACCTGTAGACAGAGCACACGTTGAAATCAATACTTAACTAATTTATAGACGTTATTTTTGTATTTGCTCTCTGTTACTTTTGCGCCATCCAGAAAAAGTAGCTACATATATAATTAACTCAAAATACAATAACAGTAACTTTTAAAGTAGGCAGGTTCTTATTTTAATAAATTAAAACATTTTGACCCATAGTGTCGAGGCATCATCAGGTCAGAGTTATATGATGATAACTCAATACTGTGAGTCAAAATAGCATTAAAATCAGATTAAAATCAGAACTTGTCTGATGTAAAAGTTGTTGTTATTGTATTTGAATTAATTATTCAGTTCAGTAGGTTCCTCGTTAAATATTAATTATATGTGTCTTCTCTGAATAACTACTTTTATTTTGTTATTTTCAGAAGTTAATACGACGTGTAATGTAATCACGAGCACGTGATTTCTTTTGATAACTTAATTATGAATTCCAAAACACGTTTCTGAGTCATTAATAATTTTCTCTTTCTCGAAACACTAAGATTGAAACCGCCTAATCTGTAATTTAGATGTGTTGCGTTGATGATAAAGTGCACCATTATTAAAACGAACACTTGAATGAGTTACATTAAACCAGGATGAAATTAAATAGAACAAAGTATATTTTACCTCTCAGAATATTGAAGTATGAAGAAATTCTTCGTGATTTATTGTCAGTAGATGGATCGCTTTCTTCAGAAATATCCTGTTCTTCCATCTGACCCAAAGTACTCTCAAGGTGATTTAAAGCACGTCTTATTTCATCTAGGTCTTTAGCAGCTCTGATTCTGTGAATGGCTTTCGTCAGATCAGATCTACTTCCTTCAGCAGGATTTCTCTGTATCATGTCTATAGCGTCGTTCAGCATACTTTGCTCGATGTCTTTGATTTTATTCTCAGCGAGAGTAAATTGGAATGTCTCTTCGGAATCTGGGTTGTCGATATTGTTCATTTCATCTTTTTGGCCATTACTTTCATCTTCTTTGCTTTCTTTCATGTTCTTACTTGTCCGCTGCTGATCACTCTGTTTGTTTTCTTCGAACATTTTGGGGGTCTGTGTCTTTTTACTGTTTTGTATGTTATCAGTCTCTTCGGTAACACTCCTTCGAAAGTTGTCTTCCAAATCATGAGAAATTATGGGGACCCAATCTTCACTACGTTTTCTCTTCATAGTATTGAGTGCCTGTGCCATAGTTTTTATGTACTCCTTTCTGAGCCATTTTTCAAAATCCACCCCTTTATTGGAGCCTGGTAGGTCTTCATCAGATTTGTCCTGAGAACTGTTTTGTTCATCTGACAAGCTTCTTGTTTCTATATCGTCAGTGTCATTATTCCTTGATTTGTAATTCCCTAAAATTTGTTTTTCCGTTTCTTCTTGTCTCTTCTGAACTCGGTTTCTTTCTTCTTCATCCTTAAGTATGTTTTTGAGCTCCCCTAACATATTTTCTTCTTTATTATCGTTTCGACCATTAAAATGTTCTTCTCTTTTCTTCAAAGCTAAACGTTTTTCTTCAGAGAGAAAGGGTAGTCTATTTTCCTTGTCTAAGAAATCTCCTTCCTCATAATTTCTTTCAGATGAATAAAACCCAGGAACATGAAACACTCTGCGCTGATCATCGAAGATATCTTGCAATGTTCTTCGCTTCCCTAGTTCTTGAAGATTTTGTAAGGAATCATCCATAAATTTATCAGGAATCTCCACAGTTTTCCTTTTCTTTTGGCTCATCATCCCAAGTGGGTAAATATCGTTGATATCTTTGACTGGTTTTAAATCTTTGCTTTTCTTTAAGTCACTTGGATTTTCATATAACATAATCTCCTCTTTGGGCATATCTCGAAAATGATTATACTTTTGGGGCTTACTTGTCTTAGTGTCTAAAAGAAGTCCTGTATATTTCATTAACTCAGGAAAATCATCATTTCCTACATTCTTCAATCCAGACAAAACCATGCTCCTGTAGTTATCCTGAAGACCGTCTTGGAGATCAGATGGAACAATTTCCTCTTCCAGAAGACCTAGCGAGTCAGCAATGTTAGTTTTTTTCTTTCTTGACATAGCCATGAGTCTATGCTGTTCCTGGAGATCAGCTAATTCAAAGTCTGATGGAACTCGTTTTTTGACGTTAAAATTCGGCAGGTCTTCAATTTCCATTTTGTTCTTTCCTGGCATAGCCATATCGTTGTAGTAGTTTTGAAAGTCATATGAGGGTACTCGTATTTTATTAGGTTTAGACGATTCGTCGGATCTGATTTTATTTTTTCGTGGCATGGGTTTAGTCATAACTCCATAGTTGTCTTTTGAGCTACTACTTTGAAACCTTGGAATCAAGTCCTGTTCTATCTGGAAAACAGGGTAATATTTGTCTTCGTCATTCTTCTCGTTTCTCTCAAGATCGAATCTATTGTCGTGAAGGTTATCCTCGTCATCTGGAAACTTTACACCTTCTACTGGGAAGCGATGTTTAAAATGAGATAATTCTTGAAAATCATCCGAAGCATCTGATTTACCAGAAAAATGATATGAAATTAATAGAAGTAAATTATGTTTTATAGTAAGTCTAACCCTATTAGATCTAACGATTTTTCAATATTCATAAATTGCAAATAATGAAATAGAAACTTGTGATTATTCACTCTTATCACCTTAAACAAACTTCTAAATACGTCATAAAGTACGAGAACGAAATAAGCCTGTCAAATTGCATTAGAAATATAGCTAAGGATTATGTTAGTTTAAAAACATAACTTACCTTTGTTAATGATGGTATCGAGATACTCAACTGCCATCTCATCATCTCTGGATAAAGGAAACGTGTCCAACTGTAATACATCTGTAGGTTCATCTAAGTTCTCCACAGAATAGTCCTCGGAATAAGGAACGAAATATCTTCTTTTTTTCAAATTTCGTTTTCTTAAATCGTTTAAACGTGATTCGGATCGTTTCCATTTTCTGTCGTAACCAGAACCAATATGATTATTCATAGCTGGTAACATCTTACCCATGTCAAAAGTTTTGTAGTTATCTTGTCTCTTCTTAGCATCGTTGATTCTGTAAGGCGCGTTATAAACATCGATAGACATTTCATCTCGAGTTGCCCTCTTTAGATTTTTCTCCATTTCCTTCGCAACCCACATAATCTTCTTGTCCATCGCGGATGAGTCGAAAGAAACGTCTTCCGGTTCGTTAATCTCTCCACTTTTCTGGGTTTGATAATAGGATAGTTCTTCTCCTCTCTTTATTTCCGATAGCTCTTTGTTAGGAATGTCAAAATAATATGGAGGAACGGGTCCATCTTCAAATTGTCGTCGGCGTCTCTTTACACTTTCTAGAGCATTTCGAAGAGTATCCTGATCATCAGAAAGATTTAACAAGCGGAAGTCATCTAACGATAATCCCGGGACGAAATGAGCGAATCCTTGAAGAACGAATAGGATGATGAGCTGTCTCATCTTGAAAAGTACGTTAGTTACCTGCGTATGATCTGTAAGAAGTATAGTACAAAAATATTATGAATCCAACTGGTAGGTAGTTTATTCCATAAAAAACAATAAATGAAAATAGAAAATGCATAAATATTAAATACGTAAAATCAACTAAGAATTTGTCAACACCATTTGTGATATCACCAAATGATCTACAATTATTTATCTCGTGTTATAGTACTTAGATATAATTGGAAAGGGGAAGGTAATATAAAAAAAAGACTTGAAATGGGACACAAGAGATTCTAGTCTTAAAATAGTTCCATTTTGCTAGCACGTCATTAGAACAGTCACAAAAGATCCAATAGATTGGAAATAAATGAAATACTGTCTTTTCTGAAGAGTCATCAAAGAGAAGACGCTTTACAATAAATACTTAGTGGCACACGATGGTTTTAGGGACAAAAGAAAGGTTAACATAGTTGTTTTTTCTGACAGCAAGGGTCATTACCAGAACAAATCAGATGAATATTTTTTTATTGAAACAAGCAATGAAACAAGGTTGCAGTTATAAATAATAATAAAAAAATATCTTTTTTTTTTCAAAATAAATCACATTTTCTTGTTTTGTGCTTCGATATCCGCTAACAAACCTTTGGAAGTTTAAGCACTGGCGCTCATTAACTCGCTATAAATATATTTAAAATGAGATCTTAAAAAAAGTATGTGTGTTTATTTTATTTTTTCATTAAAAGAATTAATATTATTTTCCATATACTTATTAACTGCGATTTTTTTGATGAACACAAAAAACTTAATCACCCGGAAAGAAAGTTATTTCTATATTCTATGCATCACTAGAAACTGATGATCTCAACAAGGGATAACAGGGGAATATTATGTTCCTCATAAAAAAGGGGGGATATTTCTATTTATTTTCAATCTCAACAAGGGGAAACAGGGGAACATTAAGTTCCTCCAAGGGGTAACAGGGGAATCTAAAAAGGGGGGATATTTCTATTTATTTTCAATCTCAGCAAGGGGTAACAGGGGAACATTAAGTTCCTCATCAAAAAAGGGGAGATATTTCTATTTATTTTCAATCTCAACAGGGGAAACAGGGGAACATTAAGTTCCTCATCAAAAAAGGGGAGATATTTCTATTTATTTTCAATCTCAACAGGGGAAACAGGGGAACATTAAGTTCCTCAT